TTGAGTATAACTTATTTCTAAGTAGGTCCTTGGAGTAGTGCTTTCTTTTTCTCCCATGGTCCTGGACTGAACCCAAGCCTTGAACATGGTAGGCAAGTGCTCTACTACTGAGCCACACACATGCCCCAGCCCCCTTAGTATAGCTTTCAAAAAATATTTCTCCCTAGTCATCCATAGTAATGAGTGAATTCTAACTCAACATAAGTACGCTAATGCTCCTAAAGGTAGGTAGACATACTGTTGTCAGGCATAGGAGGCTTGCAAATTTTTCTTTCAAATATAATAAACAAAAATGTTACCAATTTGTCCTCAGGAAATATGATCAAAAAGACATCTGTTCTATTTATCAAAATTCATACATCTGCTTCATTCTTTTCCTTTCATGGTATACATAGCTACCACCTCTCACTTCCTGTTTCCTTGCTTTCAAAGAGAGACAATTAAGAATGAGATACTTTGGAAACAAACTTTAAAAAAAAAATCCATTTGCCACACAGAAGTGAGACTCAAGAATCATAAAAGAGAATTCATTTTCATACTTATGACTAAGTTTCTGAAGTATTTTCTGAGCACTTAAAGAGACATCAATAGAGGGAGAAGTATCTGAATTAATGATAAATTCTTGAGGACTTTATCAAAGATAATTAAGGTGGTACTCTAAGAAAACAACCAGAAACACACAAATAATATACAAATATATTTATTTCAGTATTATTTATAATAACAAAAACTGGAGCCAATCTGAATGTTCTATAACAGAGGAATGATTAAACAAACAACAATACATACATGTGTTGGATTAGTAGGCCTAAATTAAAAATCATGTTTTATAAAATAGTAAATGGCATGAGGAAATGCTTGCAATATGTTCAGTGTAAAAAAGGATGCATATCCATATTCACTATAATCTCAACTAATTACCCTAAATGCTCAGATTACTCTTGGATTAATTTTATATTTTGGCATTTTCAAATTACAGTTATAATAAGCATATTACTTTTATGGTAAGGGAAAAAGAACCCTCTTTAATAGTGAAAAAATAAAAACAGTAATCTATTTCCAGTTTTCCAAATACAATTACTATGAACATATTATACTGTTATGGTGGGGAAAATGAAACACCTATCTTTTTAAAAAGCAAGTAAATAAGGCAACAAAGCTGTCATGAATTTTTCAAAATTATGACAGCCGATAAGTTCAGTTCATTTTTAGTTTCAAAATTGTTTATCAGAGCTAAATATTTGACTTTATTAGAAATTTGATTCCATGCATTTGTCTTCTAATTATCTTCTAATATCCTCCAATTATCTTTTAATATCTTCCAGTTATCTTCTAATATCTTCCAATTATCTTCTAATATTTCACAAAATCTAAAGAGCTTCTAGGCTGGGGTTGTGGTTCAGTGGTAGAGCTCTTATCTAGCACATATGAGGCACTGGGTTCGATTCTCAGCACTGCATGTAAGTAAATAAATAAAATAAAGGTTCATCAGCAACTAATAAAAATATTTTTTAAAAAAATCTAAAGAGCTTCTAAGGAAACCATGGCAGATTTCATGTGTTTTCTTTGAACATGCTCACTCACCACAGACCAGTGCTCTTCAATTTGTAGGTACTCAGGGTTTGTAGGCACTGCCTGCTTAGTGTCTTAGTTATGAAAAATGTGCTCACTTAATGATAAGCCAATCAGCTTTCCATTGTATCAAAAACAAATCTAGGGGGCTGGGGTTGTGGCTCAGTGGTAGCGCACTCTCCTAGCATGTTTGAGGCACTAGGTTTGATCCTCAGTACTACATAAAAATAAATAAATAAAATAAATATATGTGTCCAACTACAACTAAAAATAAATATTTAAAGAAAAACAAATCTAAATAAGATTGATGATTTTTCTATATTGCTATCTTCAATATGGCTTGACTTCAAAAGACCCAGTGGCTCTTTGCCACTGTAACAGATAATAAGTTATATGTAAATCATTCAGCTGTGAAGTCCAAAGAAATTCTGAGGTTTTTTAGTGCCTTAACGGTGTTTCTTTTTACAACAATGATGGCCCATATTTATTCATTTAGGATAAATCACTTAAATCACTAATAATCTACTCTGAGTAACTCCTTGAGATAACATCAAGAAGACAATATCCATACCTGGAAAATAAAACTTCACTCTTAATTAACTACATCACTCTTAATAGTTAATTAAGAATGATTGTGAGATCAGATTCTTAAAAAAAAAAAAGTTTTCATTGAGAGCATATCAGAAATAGTTGGGCTTTCCCATTAAGCTACAGTCTTTAGACAAGGGAAGGTCTACAACTATATTGTACCATGTTTGCAGTGCAAATTCTGAGAATGCCAGACAAAATTCAAGGTTTGGGAGAAGAGGAGGAGTTTTTTGAATGATGTCACCAGGAAGTGGATTTATATAAGCAGGCAAAGCTTGGCAGGTTGCACTGGACTCTTCACATCATCTTTTCTGGAAAAATGTGAATTGCTCAATAAGCCCTTGGTTTCCCCTGAAGTAAATCATCTATGAAATACAGTGGGGAGCTTCGGACAATGACTTGTGCAGAGTCACACACTGTGACCTCCATTCACAGAACATGATTCAGTTTCAGACCATCGAAGATAACATTTTATGAAATGGTTTGAGTTCTTTCAAGGTTATCGCTGTTAAGCAGTTCCTAAAAGGCATAAAATTAATCCCTAAGAGGTACACCAATTCATTTAAACAAATTAACTTTGAACTAAAAAAAAAAAATCACTTTGAACTAAACACCTGCAAAGAAAAGGCCAATAACATACTACATCATGCTGCTTTATAGTCTTATAGAAATGGTCCTCACTGAAGCAATAAAAACTTCCAGATTAATCCTTTACATTTTATGGGAATTAATTGCAAACTAGCACAATCCCAACATTTTGAAATTTTGCTGTACACTGAGCATAATGGGGTTTTGCTTTGATGTACATGTACTTATTTGTGTTTAATTGTTCTCAAATTAGAGCCAATTTACAGAGTCCATTGATTTGCTTGCTGGTACTCGGCACATTAAAAATTCTGTTACAGTCTCTTTCACTTTGCAACACCAGATATTTCACGGAGATTGCTTTAATTTGAAAGTATCTTATCCTTTTTTCAAAAATCAAAAATATTAAGCAAGTTTTTGGTGTGTTTTAGGACTAACTAGTATAGTTACATTTGAAGACTGGGATTCTGTAAAATGAAAAACTTTCATGATTAGAAAATGAATAATTACCTTCAATGATCCCCAGAAAGTAGATGCCTGTGATTCTTCCTACGTGAGGTCATGTGGATAACTACTTGACTAAGAATCCAAGTTCGAGGTCTCTACATTATTTCAAAAGCATTATAGAAATATGATACCTCCATCCCTCACCCAGTTCTTGATCCTTCTCCAGGGCAGGGATTCATCACAAGCCAAAGTTGAAGGAGTTCACAGAACCTTAAACAAATGTCCAGTGAATAAAATCTATGACGTCGGCTCAAAAGGAGCTTTCTACAAATTTTTCAAAAAAGAGAAATTGTACAAATTTCACATGCACTTATCCAAAAATATCCAACATGTGTTTTTCGTACAGTCAACATTTGACCATGAAAGCACAAATTTAGTATGCTGATCAAGATTAAAGGAACCATTAAAGATCTTTCTGGAAGAGCCAGAATGATGTCTTTGTTGAAATTGTGCCTAGGATACTTGAATAATCTTATCAATCCCGGATGTCAGAAAACCCCASTGAGGATTGACCTAACTTTTAAATTATTTTCAGAATTGCAGTAACACCAAAGGACTGATTCTACAGTGTAGAAAAATGTTAGCTCAAAGACAGAAGTGTGTTAACCAGCCAGGGCAGCATACAGATTTGACTCCTTTCCCTAGTCATCCTCACTGAGTTCCCAGGATGGTCTCTGAACCTGCTCTTGCCTGATACAAATGAGACGTGATTTCTTTAACGACCTGATTCAATTTTTTATTACCCATCCTGGGATAGATCTGTAATGGAGGGGAGAAGCCTGCTATCTGTAATGGAGGGGAGAAGCATAGGTTGGGAGTTAAAGGGGAGAAGAGGACTGTGTATGTTACTACTACATTATGTTTAAAAACCACTGACCAATTTCTCTACTCTTAACTGTTCTAAACATTTACCATTCAGATACTACAGTAAAATCCCATTTATCAAAATAAGTCAGAAGAAAGATCATTTTTATTAAAATTGTGTTTCTGAGAAAGTGGAAAATACCAATTTAATCTAAGAATCTGTGTAGAAGATTACATTTCAATAATGTAATAAAAGCCAAAATTACTACTTTTTTCCCTTTATAAAGAAACTAGAATTTTTTAAAAAAAATTGTTAAAATCCCCCGCAAAGTACCTGAGCTCATGTAATTCTCTTACTAGACATTAGCTGCTATTTATATTTAGAAAAAGATTACATAAGATTTTTTGTTTCACTCATTACAAATTTGGTGGGTTTCTTATATTCTAATCATGTTTGTGCTGCTAAGACATCTTGTTAATCTGAGCCAGTTAACCAAGTCCCGGGTAATTATTCTAGTTATTTGTAAAGGCTGTGATACAGGCTAGTAATTTTTACACTGAAAACAATTATTTTTCCAGCCAAGGTTAAAAGTTTTACCACATGTAAACTTGAAGCTGCCAGAAATGGGAACGATCAAGGCAGGACATGGATGATAACTGCTTACTGTCACTCCTTCCACCCCAGGAAGAGCTCCAAGTACACACCTTCTTGGTAATGGAACTGACTTTTCAAATATTTCTCAAGAGAAGCAGGAATTTGCTAAACTGAACTGCATGAAGGAAAACAGATGGCTCTTGAGCAGGCAGACACCTTCCTTGGGTGATGTTAACATTATGACTAAAACCAGTTTTTGAGAACTATAGTAAAACAAGTCAGTGCAAACAAGAATGATGTGATGAAGATGATGATGATCTTTGTCTATTGACTTATGTTTATGTTTCAGCTATTTGAGAAAGTCAAAGAAGTTTGTCCAAAAGTGCATGAGAAGATTAAACCTATTTATGCAGATCTCATTCAGAAGGACTTAGCCATCAGCAAAGAGGACATGAAGGAACTCCTGTCCTCTGTCAATATCATCTTCCACTGCGCGGCCACTGTACGCTTTGACGACCCACTGAGGTACCTTTCCATTTCCCCCTCATGGCTTGCATGTGTGTATGCATGTACACATGTACATGTAAGTTTCTTTATGGTTTCTGTAAGAAATATTTTAAAAAATAACAAAAAACCCAGCTGTTCAATGAAAAAATTATATATACAAATAAGCAAATCTCAAAAATCCCATCATCCAGAGACAACCACCTATTGTAGAGAACATACAGTCCAACTTTTCTTTTTACATCTATTATTATATGATGTTTAACTTTACAAAAATATGGCATCCTATTGAGAATGATATTTTACAATCTATTTACTTATAATTTGGATGTCTTTCATTTTCAATAAATATTCTATAATTGGGAGACTGAGGCAGGAGTATTGCAAGTTTAAGGTCAACCTGGCAATTTAAGGAGACCTTGATTGGAGGTGTATCTCAATGGTAAATTGCCTCTAGGTTCAATTCCCAGTACCACAAAAAAAGTTGTTACAATTTGTAATGATTATGACATTCCATTGTATGTATATGTAATATACTCAACCAGTTCTGTATTGATGAACTAATTGTTCTAATTTTTCATTATTATAAACAACTCTGTAGTGAACATCTTTGTTTATAAGTATGTATATTTGTCTATATATTTGTGTATAGATTATTTTTAACTCTTTGTGTACTCTCTATGGAGTAAATTTATAGAAGTAGAATATTCAGATACATATTAGATGTCTCCAGGTTATGAAAAGTTTACATTTTTACATATAATACTAATTCCTCGTCAAAAGGTAGTGTAAACCTAACATTGTTCCTGTGTACATGAATGCTTGTTTCTTATACTCAAAATATGATTTCTTAATTTTTTTAATGTTGCAACTATGATAGTAGATATGGTATTGTATGTTTTGATTTTTATTTCTTTGATGATTGGAAAGTTCGACAATTTTTATAGGCTTATTGACATTTTATTCCTTTGTGACATGCCTGTTCATGTTCTTTTTCCTGCTTTCTACTGAAACATTTTTCTTTTTAATTTTGAGGTTTCCTGGAAAATTCAGCATAATATTTTAGCAATTTTTCATTTGTCTTTTAAATCTTTATTATTTGTACAATTTTTATAATTTCTTCTATTGTATTTTTAGTTTTATTTTTGCATTTAGATATTAGATCCATTTAAAATTTAACTATATACAGTAATAGAAAAAAATCTACAAATGGAAAAATGATGTAGATGTGAAGGTAGAGTTGCTATTTTTTTTCTTCCAGATGGTTAGCTCTTAAACAATATTTATTAAATGGTTTATTTACATTCTATTGAAATGAAACTCTTGTGCTCAATTCCTTAGACTCTTTCTTAGGCTTTCTTTGCCAATACCACACAGTTTTAATTACTGTAATATTTATTATATTAGGGCAAGTATTCCAGAGCACAGCTTTTTTTTTTTTTTAAAGATAGACTTTACTCAAAGAGAGAGAGAGAGAAAGAGAGAATTTTTCAATATTTATTTTTTAGTTCTTGGCAGACACAACATCTTTATTTTATTTTTTTATGTGGTGCGAGGATCGAACCCAGTGCCCTGCGAGTGGGCTACCACTTGAGCCACATCCCCAGCACTCCAGAGCACAGCTTTTTAAATCAAATTTTCTGACTATTTTCAATTGACTGTACTTCATGTTTACATTTAAAATAATTTTTACAAGGTTTTAAAAATTTTGGGGGAGTTTAATTAGCACTAACTTGAATATGTAGATTAATTTAGAACACCTATTTAAAATAGTCTTTTCATTTACTTCATTAATTAAGTTTTGTGTTTTGTTTTGTGGCACTGGGGATTGAACCCAGGGACCCTCTGCCACAGAGCTACATCCCCAGCCCTTTTTATTTTATTTTGAGTTGCCCAGACTAACCTCACACTTGCTATCCTCCTGACTCAGCCTCCAAATCACTGGGATTACAGGAGTTTGGCAATCAAGCCCATTAATGATATGTTAACATTTTCTTTATATATCTATTTCTGATTAATTTGATTTAATAAAAAATGTCTAGTTTGAATGTGTCCCTTTCTTACATTGTTGTCTCTAAGTTTTGTTCATATATAGGAAAGCTAATGATTTTTTATATAATTTTTATAAGGGGACATTTTATTGAATTATCTTCTAAAAAAGCTCTTTTTGTTTGTTTTCCAAATATGCCATTATATAACCTGATAGTGATTTTTTATGACTGCCTTTTCAAACCTTTACATCTGTTCATTGATTTTATTTTCCTCTCTAACTGCAGGGCTGGGATTTCACAACAATATCAAGTACGAGGAGTGATTATAGACATCTTCCTAGCCCTTAAAGCAGTGTTCCCACCTGTTCACCATTAAGCAGGACACTGACCAGCAAACTGAGATGTACATTGTTTAATCATTTTATTTCCATTTTAGTAAATTTTTTAAATTAGAGAATAGATATTAAATGTCAATTTAAGACTTTTCAGAATATATATAAATGATTATATAGTTGTTTTCTCTTTGAGTTAAATTAGAGTAATAGGTTTCCTGATATTAGATAAACCATGTGCTTCTGATAGTGATTTTTTATTTTTTATGATAGTGACTATGTCACTATCACCACATACTGTGTTTATAGAGCTTTGTGTTCTATTAGCTACAATTTATGGTTTTGACATCAATTTTCATGTCTCACCTGGATCTTTACAGTAGCAACTTACATTATTCATTAAAAAATCCACAATTTATTTGTAATTTCTAACCTTTTGAATTAGATCTTAATTTATGTACTTTTGTTCTTTTAATGGCTGCTTGTAAAAGCCCATTTATGAATTCAGAGGATCATGATCTTCCTTCTGGTTGATTAGAACCAAGTAACCCCTAAGCACAACATGTTCCGTGCTTCAAGGAACAGGACTCAGGTGCACAAATCACAGCATTAGCAGGACCAACCAGTGTCTTCAGCTTGTAGCCATGACCCATCCTTTCCCTCCTTGTCCTCCATGGCTGCCTTGTTGATATGCTAGTTATTGGAGTAGGCACAATCACAGCAGGGGGATGCTGTGTCATTCATCATGTGTCCTGCTGCTTAATTTTTTCCAGACATGCTGTGCAACTTAACGTCACTGCCACCCAGCAGCTCTTGCATATCGCCAGTCAGATGCCAAAGCTTGAAGCCTTCATACACATCTCTACTGCCTATTCCAACTGCAACCTGAAGCACATCGACGAAGTCATCTATCCATGCTCCGTGGAGCCAAAAAAAATCATCCAATCCATGGAGTAAGTTGGGTCAATGGAAGGGATTGAGGAGTGGGCTGGTTGTTTTTATTTTATTTTTTAAAAATTAAATGACAGCGAATGCACTACAATTCTTATTACACATAATACAGCACAAATTTTTCCTATCTCTGGTTGTATCTTGACACCAATTCGTGTTTTCATACATGTACTTTGGATAATGATGTCTATCACATTCCATCATCCTTGCTAACCCCCTGCCTCTTCCCTTTCCCTCCCACTCCCCTGCCCTGCTAAGAGCCACAGCCAAGTAATATGATGCATGGCATTTTTGGTTGAAAGGTGATGCCAGCTAGCCATTGAGATGATATGATTATGTTAAGATTTGCATTCTTATGGATATTGGACTCCTGCTGTTCACCTCAGCCTGCTAGGGACTCCTGGAGAGTTCCCATTGGTTGGGGAAGTGCAGTAGGAGGGAATTTCGGGGGAGGAACTTCCTCTGGGGTTCCAGGAGAACGCCGCGTGTGTGGATCGGCAATCTTCCCGGGCAAGTACAGGGCATTGGCGGCAGTTTCAAAAATATCCTGCTTGAGTGGCTCTTGATTTTGTGCCCAGCCAGACTGCGGCACTGCCCTATCTAGAATTCATCTAGACTATGAATCAGTCTCCTTTTATCAGAGAAAACATTTGGCATTAGTTTTTTGGGGATTGGCTAACTTCACTTAGCATTATCTTCTCCAGCATCATCCATTTACCTGCAAATGTGAATTTTGCTGCTATAAACATTGATGTGGCTGTGTCCCCGTAGTATGCTGTTTTTAAGTACTTTGGGTATAGATCGAGGAGAGGGGTAGATAGGTCTGCAAATGCCATGATTTTATTCTCTTTTATTGCTGAGTAAAATTCCAACCAAGAAAAACAAATAACCCAATCAATAAATGGGCCAAGGACCTAACACTTCACAGAAGAGAATATACAATCAATCAACAAATATATGAAAAAATGTTCATCATCTCTAGCAATTAGAGAAATGCAAATCAAAACTACTCTAAGATATCATCTCACTCCAGTCAGAATGGCAGCTATTAGGAAGACAAACAACAGTAAGTGTTGGCAAGGATATGGGGAAAAGGTACATTCATATATTGCTGGTGGGGCTGCAGATTGGTGCAGCCAATATGGAAAGCAGTATGGAGATTCCTTGGAATTCTGGGAATGGAACCACCATTTGACCCATCTATCCCTCTCCTCAGTCTATACCCAAAGTACTTAAAAACAGCATACTACAGGGACACAGCCACATCAATGTTTATAGCAACAAAATGAACAATAGCTAAACTATGGAGGCAATCCAGATGCCCTTAAGTAGATGAATGGATAAAAAAATGTTGCATATATCTATTTGATTCTTTATCATCATTCATTATTGAATGAAGTGGGACATCCTTGCAGCTGGCCATGGTGGTGAACGCCTGTAATCCCATTGGCTCTGAAGGCTGAGACAGGAGGATCACGAGTTCAAAGCCAGCCTTAGCAATTTAGAGAGGCACTAAGCAACTCAGCAAGACCCTGTCTATAAATAAAATACAAAATAGGGCTGGGGATATGGCTCAGTGGTTGAGTGTCCCTGAGTTCAACCCCTGGTATCCCCCCCCACACACACACACACACATACACAAAAACATGCTCCTGTCCTTGCTAGTTCCTTTATTCCCTGGTAGGGATTATATTGCTGAAGGGGAAGGGAGATAGAAAATTCTTAAAGAAACCTTTTTTAATAGTTTAGCACTGCATAAGATACTTGGGAATACCATAGACTTGATTTCTCACTTCTTAATAACACCAGTATTGTCACTAGCTAAAGGAAATATAATGTACAGTATAAAAAGTTCAGGAGAAAATTTTTTGTAATCAGACTTGTATGAGTTCAACTTAACATAGTAGCTGTGTGACTTTGAGCAAATTCCTTGGTTCTCTGAATCCAAGTTCCTTCTTTTGTAACACGGGTCTATCTTATAGTTGTGATCACGTGTTAAGTTATATAAAGTAATAATTACAGTGCTAGAGTGTAGCCAAATGTTTAGTAAAGAAGAACTAATCAAGAATAGGAATTCCTCAAAGATCTGGCTGAAGGTGACAGTCTCTTGACATATTCATCTGAGATGGGCTCTTTACTGCTGTATTGTGCAGTCTCTATAATTTCTCTTGCCAACTGATAGAAACCACTTTCTTCTTAGGATGCTGCCCCAGTGTCAAAATAAGTCCATTTCTGTTTTCCATTTCTTCATTCTTCTCCATTTTTATCATCTTTAACTCAGTTTTTAAAAAACTCTACATAAAAAATATTAAAGCAGGGAAAAATGACTATTTTACAGTGAATTTGTCACATTATAACTTCATACAATACAGTACTTATGTTCAAATATATATATGTATATATACATATATATTTAAAAACTTTAGCTAAATCAAAAGTTTATTCCCTCAGGGCAAACATTTTTATCTCTTTCAGGTCTGAGAACAGATATTTTTACCTGTAACTTAAAAATATCCAGGACAAAGAAAAGTGAAAGTCATCTAAAGGATCTGGAGGTTACTTTAAGTTGCTAATAAATGGTGATTTGCTTCACTGGTGCAAAGGGATATTTCAGAGTCCAAAGTTTATCAGGATAGTTGGAGAAAGGCAGGTGTAGTTTGATGCCCAAAGTTAATGCAGCAAGATAGGTAGGTAGATAGATAGATAGATAGATAGATAGATAGATAGATAGATAGATAGAGATAGGTAGGCATCTCTGTAATGGTTCTGTCCCTAGAGCCTGCTCCCTCTCTGCCTCCCTGGTGAGTCCTACTGGCACCCCAGTGCTCTCCCCCGACGCCCCCTGGCGGAGGCTTCTTTCACATAGGCCCCAGGGTTCCTCCTTATCATTGCCATTAACACAGTCATTTATAAACATCTGGTTGCTTGTCTATATTCTCCACTAGACAATGAGCTTCTCAAAGGAAGAGAGTTTCTCTTGTTGCTCTTTGCACATCCAGTACCATCACATAGTAGGGGCTCAAATATTTCCTGAATGAATGAAAAGCTTTCCATGGCATTAGATGATCATCCTTCCCACTGTTCTGGCTGATTCTTGTTTTTTGGAAAGAAGCAAGAATTGACAATATTGCATAACAAGCTAATATTTGGGATGTGGAGCTTATGTGTAAAATATCTCTACTGCCATACTTCACCCTGTTTTGGATTGCTTTTTTTTTTCTTCTTACACTTTTAATTAAACCTACCTGTGAGTTTTGAATAATACTTTAAATGAAGCCTAGCAACCCCTGAACAACGAAACTTTCAGTGTGACTATTTCAACAACTCCTATATTACATGAAAATTTTGAAATTTTAGAATAACAAATGTCATCAAAGTTATTCTGAGTAAATATAGATGGAATATTTCTTCTCCAAAATACTTGGATCCTAGGTTTTTTGGAGTTTAGATTTTTTCAGATTTTGGAATATTTACAATTACATTATGAGCTATCTTGGAGATCAGACACAAGTCTAAACACAACATTCATTTATGTTTCATGTACATCTTATACACAGAGCCTGAAGGTAATTTTATACAATACATTTAGTGTGTCTTCATTTTGACTGTAACCTACCACATGAATTCAGGTGAGAAATTTTCTACTTGTAGCATCATGTTGGCACTCAAAAAGTTTTGGATTTTGGAGCATTTCATAGTCAGACTTCTGGACTAGGGATGTGCAACCTATATTAATTCATCTAAATTCAGAATCAGTGAGATTTAAGAAATTTCTCTCTGATTTCTTCTCTACTTAGTAATTGTTAAAAGAAAATTATTCTCCAAGATTTTTAGGTTTCTATTTCCAGTTCTGGGAACTAAAAGAGAATTTGTATTTTTCTCCCCCTCCGACAGCTTTCCCAATTGTTTAAGCCAGAGTGACAGAGCTCAGGGTTTTTAAGAAAGAGAAGTGGGGTGGGAGCCTAACCCCCACACCTACAACCCTGCCCCACCCTTCACCATCTCAGGTCCCTCCTCACTCAAATTCACCCCTTTTACTGTCCAAAAAACAGCGTTGGACTGCGAAGCCTCAGTTCCCTTCCTTCAGCCCCTTTCTGGAAACTTCCAGAATTACTCTGGTCCTGGACCATTCCAGAAAAATGAAATTTGATCATGTCAGTACAAGAACTTCAGCATGTTGGTATAAACATGTTTTTAATAAAACTTAACTAGGAGTTAGTAATACTTTTAATTAGCATGACAGGCAGGGCCATTAGTCAGTGACCAGCAACTGGTTTTCTTTGCCCTCTTGCCTGCTGTTTTCTGCTGCCCCTCATCCCTGCAGACATTGTCGTGGGACCGTGTATCACCATTCTAGCTCAACTCTACCTTTATACCAGCTTCTAGATATTTCGTGATATTTACCTTTAGAAACTTGTGTGTATAAAGGATCTGGAATTGCCCTGGAAATCTGAGCTTTCCAGAATAACAGTTTAAGTAGAATGTTTCTTTTTAAAAATGCACATGACTGACTAGGAAAGATAGGCTTTTGTGGTTGGTGTTTTCCATAGTTTTCAGGTCAAGGTAACTATCTCAATGAAACTAGCAAAGAAGTAAAAAAAAAAAAGGCTTTTGCACTTGTGTAAAAACGTGAAGTAACTAGAGTTAGGAACTTAATAACGGATCCATAAATACTGACTGCTTTGGCTAACGTACAAAATAAAACTAGTAAATATGCATTAGGAAGGGAAGGCAGGGAGATGAGCCACTACCAAGCAGCTTCATGAACAAGCTACGGACATTTAATTCCTCAATGGAGCATTGCCAGGTTGATCTTGTCCTCACTGCCATACTAAGGAATGGGCAGAAAGCTCAGACAGACTAGGTAATACTTTGAAAGTCTCTCAATCGGTAAATCCAAGATGTAATTTTTGACCCACGGCCACATCATCCTGAAGGCCACGGTCTTTCTGGTGGTGCCAGAGACTTACAGGTGATCTTGTAAGATACAGACTGTGCCCTC